AAAAATAGACGAGTACAAAAGTGAAATATATTTATTTTTTCTTTTCCTTTTATTTTCGTATCATATCGTGATATATGTAAATCTGACGATAACTGAATTAATTTTCATCGTTCGCATTGTTGAATTTTTCTGCCTGTTTAGAAAAGTAGACAAAAAAGATTAAAAAGAGAGAGAGAGAGAGAGAGAGAGAGGGTGGGAAGAAACGGAAATCGGTTAACTTTTACGTATTTAAACATTGATAAGAGAATGCTATCGGTAAGTTGGTTTTTCCGATTAGTCGATCAGTGCTTACAATTAGTGCCACCAACAATTATCACTAATTATTGTCGTGGATATGCTTCTACTATTATTTCATACGCGTTCTCCATAGATATACTATGTAGATATATCTTTAGGCGTTCGCGAGGACTACCGAGTTTGAATGTGTACGTGTGTATTCTGTAGCGTATGCTTATACGCATCCGTAGAACCGCATCGCACTGCTGCACTGGCTATGCAAATTGGCGCCAGTGCAATTTCCAGACAGTATGCGCTTGGCACGTGCAATGCTACGTATATAACGACTGCTTTCGATATCTCAAGCTACGTACATATCTATAGATATAGGATACATGTATACAATGATTTTAGGCGAATTAAACCGTACGGGCATCGTCCCCTTTTATCATCCTTCCTTTGATAATCGATCATTTGTCATTAATTCGAGTAATGGCCGGTTTTCATTAACACGTATAGTGAGATTAATGGTGATTGGTATTACACTTTATTTACAATGTTTATAATATTTATTTTCCAATATAATTTGCCATTCACTTTTCAAGGACAGTAACCATGCACGTTCAAGTTTTTTTTTCGTTTTGTTCGTTTATTTGATTTTTTGTTTTTTGTTTTTTGTTTTCCTTTTTTTTTTTTTTTTTTTTTTTTTTTTAATAAATTAAATATTCGTGACATGTACGTAGACTTTATTTATTTATTTTTTTCATATTTTCAATTTATTTAAGCATCATCATTCTAAAATAAAATATCGATGAATAAGATAAAACTATATAAAAGGTTTTTTTTTTTCTAACAAAAGTCGTCCTTAAAATAATTAGGCAATGATGAAAGTTATGATGAACGTGCGGTTTATATAGTCTTATGTTTAATATTTTTTGCGTTTATTGATCGTTTTTGAATTTACGGAGAATTAAGAAGAGTAACGTGAAAATCATTAAAAATAGGGATAGAATTGATAAAGTCAAAAGAACGAGTATGGCCGAAGGAGAAAGTAAATATGTAATCAGCGTGCTAATTTTTCGCGTTAAAAGTCGTCGGAGGTGTGTCAGATACTGCTTATTATGGGTGCAATCTTAGATTTGCCATTTTCTATTATTACCGGGTAATAAATTTCGCAAACAATCGTTCGCGTCGTAGAAAGCGAAGGTGACTGCGCGGGAAAAGCGTTAGACGAGGATTACCGATTGTGGAATGCAGATAAATCGATAGGAATATATCTGTAATTGACATAATAACTAATTATCGATCGATATTATCGTATAATATATTCTCAGAATGAAAAGTATTAATGAGGTAAGGCGAACAAATAATATGTGTAAAAGCTCGAATGTTCAATGTTAAGAGAAAAAAAAAAGGAACGTGTATTTTATGTTGCCATATATAAACATGTTTTCGTCCGTGAATTTTGTTATTTTCGATGAAAGATAAGTATATTATTAATACGACGTAAGTCAAAGAAAAAAGTAGGACGAAACGAAAGAGACATATGTGAGCAATCTGGCGATATAAGCCGAACGGGATTAACGTTACGATTTCGTGAAGCCTCGATAAGCACGTGTTTTATCATTTGCTTTCGCCTCGGATTAAGAACCAATCCTATCAATTTTATCGATACTCATTCACGTAGGATTATAAACGAAAATTAGTAATTTCGATATTGCATATTTTATTTATACGTATGTGTATATTTATACGTATGGGTAAATATATATTTTTCATATGTGTATTTATCATATATACGAAAGATATATATATGGGAAGGAAATAATAACAATGTCGAAAAATCTTTAATTAACTCGACCATTTTCTTAAATTTTCCATTTTTTCCCCTCTTTTATCCTGTTTCTTTACGACGCATCGAATTACTCCCACCCTTCCTGCCGCCTGTTTTCTAACCATTTATACCCCCTTATATTCCGCCACATTTCTGCAATGAGCGTGTCTCGTATTATGCAAATTTCCGTCATTGCTTCGACTTGTTCTCTTCTACCTGCTCGAATTATACCGGATATGACGTCATAGCGTGAAGCATTAAACCTACCGCACTGTGGACAGTATAATTAATACATGGCGTGCAGATCGCGGGTAGTAATAATTAGTATAATGCCGCATTTACTGTCGCGACGCACGTTAATGTACACTTGATCAATGATATTAACCAGATATTTCCTCGTTTTCTTATAATTAGTGGTTGTACGAAACTCTTCTCTCTCTCTCTCTCTCTCTCTCTCTCTCTCTCTCTCTCTCCTCCCTCTATCTCTCTATCTCCCTTTTTTTTCGTGTCAGACGATTTCTATTTTTGTAATAATTCTTCCGAAATTCTATAAATTCGAACGAAGACGAGAGGAAGTTAAAAAAATAATCAATGACTTCTAGAGTACGATCGATAACCTAGTAAACTTTGTTCTTTTTATGGGAGAAAAAATCATGACAATTTTAAGTGATAACCTTAAGTTCTCTGATTATTATAGGGTCAATCAATGAAGACGAAGAGAGAGAGAGAGAGAGAGAGAGAGAGAGAGAAAGAGAGAGAACTCCATCCTCTTACATCTTTTTCGTTTCTTATGTCGAATGAGATACCTTTCGTCGTTGCCTGTAACGTACGGTTCTTAATTACAATCCTCTCAACGATCAAGATAAGATGTTGATAAAGAAACTTGACACGTGGAGATTATGAATTCGTCTGTCTGTCTCTCTCTCTCTCTCTTCGATCTTCCGTTAAATCTCTCTCAGAAATGTATCGACTATGTGGATCGTCGAAATGATATTAATATCAATAAAATCATATAATATTGAAAGTTAATTTGTATGTATGTAAATTATCTTTATCTCTCATCTATTAGATAAAAGAAGTGTTTCTTTCTTTTTCATTTTTTTTTTTTTTTTTTTTACATAAAAAATTATTACGATTGTCAATGGAAAATCATTTTTCAAATTCTCAATAATCGGATTTTACAAGCGTCTTCAAAGTTTTGACGATAACGGTTATATCGACTCAGATTAGGTGTCAATAAAAACGAAGTAGTATAATATGTTATTCCATAATCGTGCTTGACCATGCGATAACTCTGCTAAGTATTTCGAGTTAAAAAAAAAAAAAAAAAAGAAAAAAAAGAAAAAAAAAGAAAGAAAGAAAGAAAGAAAAGAACATTGGTTTTACGTATTAGTCAGTGACTGCCTGGCAACAAGTAGTAAAATTATTTTAGAACAGTTACGTATTCATCGCACTGATTAGTGACATTGTTATCTTAATTGCTACTACTAATACCGCTGTCATGACGACGACACGATCAATACTACTATTACTACAACAATATATATTACTAGTATCACTACTATCATCGATGATATTATTGGAAAGATTTGTCAGGATTATCGTTTGCATTGTAGCACATTTTTTACACACCAAAGAGGACTGACTGGCAAGATTGTAAAAACTCAATGGAAATGAGATAACGGACAAAGAATTTTTATTTCATTCTCTTCTTTTATTCATTAATAATATGATTCAATAAAAGTGATATTTAATTTTTAGATGATTTCATTTCTTCGTTAAATAATGCATATGCTTATATGGTATAAAAAAAAAAATTCCAAAATATATATGAATACAACGATCCTTTTGTTAAAAATATTAAGTATATTTTAAGTTATGCACGCATAGATAATTTCTCTATTTCTTTCTTTTTAATATATCATTAATATTCAATGAATAAACGTAGAATCTAATTTCATAGAAGTACAGGTATACTTACATATTTGGTATTGACACGTGTGTGGACAAGTGAGACGGGACTACGTTAGCATTGGATTTTCTCGCCACGTAAGCTTGGTGTACATATAACGTGACCTCGAGCTCACTATCACTATCGTGTCGTGATAAGCCGACGACCGTGCAAAATGCAATCCATCTTTTTTGAAACGATGGCCTTTACAGTGAATGGGTACGAGTTCATTGCGTATAACCGTAAAAGAAGTAACTTCTTTTCCTTCAATCAGATTTATTTGAAATTAAGTTCATAAGTTCATTTCTTTTAAACTGTAATAATAATTTCGAAGAGACGATGATTCGTCACGTTTACAAATTGCTTTTTAAATAAAGAATAAACGTTCAAGAAACTAGCTGTGATGTCTTGGTCAAAGAATTTCGTTGACCGTTTCGTTCATAGACACAACATACCGAGCAACGGGAAATGTCTTATATACACACACACACACACACACATATACATACACAACATATATGTATTAGATTACTCGTATCATGATTAGCATAAACTGGTTTAAGTTGCATTGGTGTTAGCATAATAGGTCTGCAAGAATGCACGATGATGCTTAAATTAATCATTATCTTCATCATTTGTGATATTAACGCAGATGCATAACCCGCATATAAAATATAAGAACAAAATTTCATTTTGTTGAAACCATAAAAAGTAGAAAAGGAATAAAAGATCATTATTGTCAAAGTAAATAGAAAAAAGAAAGAAAGAAAAAAATAAAGAAAGAAAAAGCAAAAAGTCGAACAGAATATCTCGTTTTATTCGTTCGTAATTTATTAACGATAAAGAACAATAAGGGATAAATTTAACGATGAGTTAATTAGTTAAAATTTTAACTTTACAATGAAATAGAATGAAAATAAAGAAAAAAGAAAAAAAAATGATTAAACGATACGGAAGAAGAAAGAACGAACAGGATTGAAGTAAATGTTTATATTCCAGGTCACCTGATTACACGAAAGGCGTCTTCCAGAGCATTGGCTTCAAAGAGTTTCACGATTACCTCATATTACCAGAAGAGGAGAGGGCAAGCGAGAAGGTAGGTAAAAGACGTTGGCGTCCATATCTTCATCAACATGATGTCCGTTGCAGCTGCTCGACTGCCGGCGACTACGTATAATCATGCGTGATTCTCGGTTTATGTGCCGTCATCGAAAAATTCATCCGGGTTGTTTCTGATGATAAGCAAGCAGTAGTAATATTACTGGTAGTAAGGCTGGTAGGCAGCTGCTTCTTTCTTGAAAATTTCTTTAATAGAGCCCTTACCCCCCCCCCCCCCTCTCTCTCTCTATCTCGTCCTCTTTCTGTCTCGTTCTTTTTGTTTCTACCTTCAAAAATTAACTCGACGACATTAACTGAACTCTTTTTGTAAGGCAACGTCTCTTATAATTCTCCGAATATTTGTTTTAGGCAGAGAAGCTACTTAAACAAGGTCTCGAGGATTTGAAAATGGTTACAAGAAGATATGCTAAAAATCAACAAAAATGGATTAGGAATCGCTTATTGCGTCGAACCGATAGACAGGTACACGATATATGTATTTTATACATTAAGTTTATGTTTTTTATATTCTTATATTTCTATATTCACATGCATGTATGTATGTATGTATGTATGTATGTATGTATGTATATATATATATGTATATCATGTATATATCAGGTACCACCATTGTATGTATTGGACTGCACCGATTTGACTCAATGGAAATCTAATGTTTTTGATAAAGCTGTCTCAATAATTTCTACGATATTACGAGGCGAAAAACCAGAAGAAAAACCTATTAATGAAAATGTCGAGAATCAGAAAAGTACTGATAGCAGTAATGAAGTGCAACATTATTGCGAAGTGAGTAGACATCTTTAATTTTTATTGATTTCATAATTAATCAGGATTTCTTATTTTATTATTATTTGTTTCAGATTTGTGAAAGAATATTCATTGGTGAATTGCAATGGAATTCACATATAAATGGATTAAAGCATAAGAAAATTTTGCAACGCATGAAAAGAATGGAAAAACAAAATTCCGGAAGTTAAATACTCATTAATTGATACCAGATTTCATTGATACAATATTGTATATATGTATATCAATAGATATATATTTGACTATTATAAAGATAAGTAATTTTTATATTTTTGAATGAAAGTATTTAACAATGGTCGATAAGCTAGATTGGTATTGTATCGATATCAGATAATGTAGTTTTACTTTTTTATATTAAAGTACCATAAGATGTTCATACAGAACATTCTTTTTCAGTAATATTAAACAATAAATTTATGATGTAATTATAGCACACAAAATGATAATAGAAGAGTGTATTGATTAAATGCTTTATTTAGTAATATGAATATATTATTAAAACGTCTTTCAACTTTCAAACATATAATGTAAGTCAACATTATCAAGGGAGTTTCTATATCTACGGTCGGTAAAACTTTCAATGATTATAATTATTTCAAATAATTTCTTCTACAGAATTAAATGATATTTCAACGTTCATTGGGAATCAATTAGTATTAATTATTAACTAATGAAAATAATTATTATTTACAATCTTAGTCGTGAAATTACATATCTCTTTAGTATACTATCTCGTTGGAAGTTTGCAGCTATCATTATAATGAAAAAGGTAACATTTATTTTTATAAAATCATTTACTTTTCCCTTTAAATTTAAAAACACACACACGTATGCGTATATATATATATATATATATATATATATATATATATATATAATCATATTTTTTATCGAATTCTTCCTTAGTTTTTTTATTCACTTTTAATTATAATCTTTGTCATGTTCCTTTATCAAATATTTAATACTTACGTGACATTTTGTCTCACCTTGTTAACGGATTTTATACGATGTAAAATACCAAAGGTTTCGTCTGTGCGCTTAATACGAAGTTTAATTACAGAGGCACAGGTGGGCAAACTGGTGAGTTTCCTCGTTCGGCCACTTTACAATTTCAATTAACGTGAATTCGCAGCCGCCATAGCCTTTGAAATAGTTCTCAGTTCCTATGGAAAAGGTTCGAGTCTAGTAGCGAATCTACGATGAATCGATGTTCACTACGCATTTCGAACGTGTTCGCGTGTTCTCATCGTATTCAATATTGACTGTATTCCTATGCACTATAGAATGTTTGCCAATATTCTGTTTCGTTGCAATTTGGATTAATAAGCAAGAAAAAAAAAAAAAACATTTGTCTATAATCCCAATAACTTTTAATGGCCCGTAGTTAGATCATTGTGATTGAATTAATTTAACATGTTTACAGAAAGTATTTTATTATCTTTTTCATTTTTTCTTTATGACTATTTTCTAAAAAACACATCAGAAAATCAAATCATTATCGTTATCAAGATTATTGTTATAATCATCATTATTATTATTATTATCATTATCGAATTTGTCTCGTCAGGGTTATTCTAAGGAAATAAAAAAAAAAATTGGATAATATGAAACGATCATTTATAGGTACGTGAGACGCTTGTCTGCCCGTTTGACATCAGATTCAATCTTGTATAATCCATTGGAATATTCGAAATGAGAAAGTCGACGACGTTGGTGTTCCTCGATAGAATAAAATATTTTTTATTTACTATCTTCAGACTGTATTTTAAATTGAAATTTATACTTTGCACAAATTTGATGTTTGTTATAGTAATAGAAAGATTAAATTTATTCAATATATGTAACAATTAAATTTTCACGTGTATAGCGTATACAGTATTAGAAAAATATGATTGCCTGAACATTAATAACATAACGTTATAACAGTGAAATGGATAAAATCTAAAGGACTATGGTATTATACAGATCCAATCGAATTCGACAACTTAGAACCATTCGAACGATCTTTAGATATACAGCAAGGCTTACGATTCGTGAAACTCGGGATTGACGACAAAGGGATTACTATGCATATACTGTTTGAATCCATATCAATGTGCAATCGATTCATGATCACTCGACTGTGTTAACGTGCATGGTTGTTAATAATCCTCGAATTTCCTACGATACACCGATCATTTCAAATCGGATTTATATATAGTTTATAAAAAGAATGATCGGAGTATTGACATGATAAAAAAATATTTCGATATTTATTTATCAATAAAATTCCATTAAATGGAGAAAGAAAATCGATAAAAGTGATTGTTAATTATTCGTTCGTTATAAATATTTATTCGATGAATTATCGATCAGATGTAATCGACTCGTGAGAAAGTTTTAAAAGTGATCGGTCGTTCGATCGAATTTAAACATACAGTCGAAGATGTCGCAAGTCGATACGTTTCACTGTCACTTAGTAACGTCGTCGTCTTCGTTTTCTTCCTAACGTCGAAACGCGTCTCATTAATGCTAACCAACCCGAATACCTTTTGATTTCTTCGCGTGACCTCTTTAGCAATTTGACTCACAGTAAATGGGCGTGGTAATTTATTCGATTCCTAACGTTTAATTCGTCCATGAAATTCGACGACGGTGACTGGTAAATTTGGTCACTTGCCTTATGATTCATTAAAGTGTATTTCAAATGAGTTTTAGTAATTCGTCTGGTCGTTAAATGAATATTTTTTTGGGCCATGATAAATGGTTAGATAGATCGATATTTTTCAAATATATTTTTCAACAGATTTTATTACACGATTCTTTTTTTCTCTTTCTCTTTTTCTCTTTTTCCCTTTTTTTTCTTTTTTTTTTTTTTGTTCGAACAGATGTTTTTCGATAAACTTTATTAATAGATATAATTAACATATTGTTTTAATGTTGAAACACATACACACATGTTGTAAATTATTCGATTCACTAATTTATTCGAATCTAATTATATTTCTTATCTATATGCGATAATATTACAGAGAGAAAATTGTTTCTACAAAGTGTCTGTCGTTATCACACGTTTGCGTAGTGCAATCGATCGAAGCGTACCCTTGCACTGACCGTGTCGCGGTAATTCGAATGCCAAAGTTCATCGTTTGAATATAAAGATGAATGGACGAGGTCGGATGAATGAACGAGCTTAACGAGTAATAAAGAAAGATAAAGAGAAAGTCGAAGAAGTGGAAAGATGCATTTGTTTCTCGTTGTTGAGCTATAATTATCGCCTTGTAAACGAACGAAAGAAGAGGAAACCGCTTTTATCGCTACGAAAACGTCACGTCCGCTTTCGATGTGCCAATCATTCCTATCGTACATCGTGAATGCTCCTCCGGCCGTGACTAATTCGTTAACATGCACGTTCCGACAAAGATACTGACTTGATCATTTCTTTTCTTTTTCTTTTTTGATCAACAATCAACAATCAATCGATAACATTATGATAAAAATAAAACAGATATCAGGCATATTTTATTGTTTAATAAAAATGACTATAAAAAGAAACATCTTTTGATTTGATTTAATTATTTGAGATAAAGTTTTTATAAAAATTTTTCAATGAAATTTTCACGAAAAATTTCATTAAAAATTTTATTTTAATTAGGAATATTAAGTACTGTGTTCAAGTATAAACAGGAAGCAATATAAGTTCATCTCCAAACATCACAATAATGGGAAATTTTACATTGAAATGTGTACTTTTATCGTGTTGCTGTGATTCCGTAAAAGTAATTGATTTTTAAGTGGCAAGAGAAGATTTTGAAATGCAATACAAATTCTCGGATCAAAAAAAAAAATATTAAAGGAAGAGATGGGTTTATTCTAAAGAGTTTGTGGGGGTTCAAGAAAGTGCTTGTAAGAAGTGAAGAACATAAACAGACATAAAGAGGATCTTGTTGTGGCGTGTATATGGCTTGGTTTAATACTCTTACACAATGACGATCACAGTAATATACGATAATAAAAATAATAATAAAAAAAAAAAAAGAAAATAATAATAATAATAAAAATAATAATAACAATAAGTTATTATCTGAATGATTTCGGAGTATAAAAGTATTAATAAATTCATTTCCTTTCAAATAGTAACTATTGTAATATCCACCAATGGCGAATATGGTTAATAGCGAAGAACTTAGTAAAAGTTATACGTAAAGTTTTACTCGTTATTCATAGATCAGTAATTCTTTAAATGCATCGTATTGTTACAAAAATTTTTAATATCAGTGATTAACAAAGTCTTATCTACTAGTTTAGTAATAGTATTCTTTAAATCTATATTTTCTTCATATATCTTACATTCATAAAATATCGAAGGAACAGTATTCCCAGAGCATATAAATTAATACTGTAATGATGAAATTATTTAATATTTCTATCATGTTTTTCTTCGAAGGGATTTCCTTTCTCTACATTTTTTGTATACTTACAATTAGAGTACTGAGAAAATCCGAGCTATATATATATATATATATATATATATATATATATATATATATAAAAGCGTCTGCAAGATAATGCAAAGAGAGATCAGTTCTTATTACGTATTCAACATCCGACTTTATTTCTTACTGTCGTCTCTTTCGTTCGGAATGAATCCTTCGCGTTTAATGTACCTTGAATTTAAAGTTATATAATGCGTAGCGACGTGTATTAATCCGAAGTGTCGGAATGGAAACGGAGATCAAAGAGAGATCAAAACGTCAGCAATCTCTTTTTAGAAATTCTATACGTGAATCGTAATCTCTCAAGTGGTAAGAAAAAAATTCGAAATAATCACTTTTCGTGAAGAAATGTGATTATTTCGTAAGTAAACAAAATATAAACTTAATAAAATATATATATATATATAAAATAATAATAAAATATAATCTACCTTAAATTCTCAGATTAAATATATAATAAGCTGTTTTGTTTCATATTTAATTAAAAAAATATATACATACATATATACTTTTTTATATGAAATAGAGCTGCGCTATACAAATGAAAAAAACGAAATAAAATAAAATAAGAGGATCAATAAAAAATAATATACAACGTATTCGATAGATAAAATGTATGAAACACTGCTTTCATAACGAAATTTTAACTTTCGAAGAAGAGAGAGAGAGAGAGAGAGAGAGAGACAGAGAGAGATAGAGAGAAAACAGAAAATAGAAAACATAACAGAAGATATTTACTGATAACATGTATCGTAGGAGATGTATTAAATACAGTAAGGGCACGAGAGAGAAAGAGAGAAAAAGTTAAAAAGAGACAAAAGTATCGGTAGGAGTCGCGAGATGGCGACGCACTGGCTGACGCCTGGCGTCGTTTGTACGGCAGTCGCGCGTACGACGCCGTCGCCACCACGTGGGGAGGGAATTTGAATCAGGCGCCACACGGAGGCCGGCACACGAGCGCGAGAAAGTGCCGGGACGCGTCGCGAGAAACTGAGAAGGAAAGAGAGAGAGAAAGAGAAAGATAGGTATTCTGAAGCGAACGAGAGTGTAAGAGAGACAAACCCAGAAAGAGAGAGAGAGAGAGAGAGAGAGAGAGAGAGAGAGAGAGAAAGAGAGAGAAGGACATACAACGAGCTTAGCCATCTCGAGCGCCGTGCGATCATTCGCACTCGCCGGCTTGCGTTTCCGTCGTACAGATAAAGAACGGTCGTGTCTCTATTCAACTTTTCTTGAAGAATTCTACATGAAAAACAAGATTTAAAAAAAGAGATATAAAAAAAAAATATATATATATATACAGACACATAGAAAACGAGAGAAATATATATATATATATATATATATATATATATATATATATATATATGTAAAGAAGGGAAGAAGAGAAAGAGACAGAAAGAGAGGAAGAAGAGGAGAGGGATAGAGAAAAATAAAGAAAGAAAGGAAGGCAAGAGTGACGAAAGAGAAGCCGTTGTCAGTGAGTGGCGAACCGTGGAACGGATTGGACACGGACTAGGAGTCCTTCCGCGAGTCCTTGAACTTCAATTCGCCGATCGATTCAATCGTCCCAGAAAAGGTCGAGAATCGAGGCTAATCGGTGTACGTTAAGGACTAGGAAAGGTTGACCTCTCTTATAGACAAGGTCCGACCTTGGATATTAGCGTCGCCACCGTCGCTTTTTCACTATTCACCTTTTCTCAATACTTCCATTATTACATATTATTTTTTATTTTATCTTTCTCTCTTATTTGTTTTTGGTATTGGATTTGCTGTGGTATTGCCACAATTGTCATTCATTTTTTTTTTTTATATCCTTCGAAACCCAAAGATCGAGGTGTCAAAAAGAGAAAGAGATAGATAATTATTTCGCTGTGTATTTGTGCGTGTGGTCCGAAGAATAAGGAGAAGAAGAAGAAGAAGAAGAGGAGAGGTAAAAAGAGGCCTACGAGATTAACCACCTGTCATGCTGATGGAATGACTCAATATGTGGGCTAGGTGAGTATAGTTGAGAAAGAGAGAAAAAGAGAGGGAGAAAGAGAGAGAGAGAGAGAGAGATAGTGCGCATGATACGTATGTATCTATACGAAAGAGAGAGAGAAAGAGAGAGAGAGAGAGAGAGAGAGAGAAAGTCTAGTTTACAGCATGCGGTCGAGAGTAGTCGAGGGTGGTAATTGGAGGGAGACGAATTAAAGGGGTTAAACGTTGGCGAGGGTGAATGAGCTACAGGTAGCTCTCTCCGGAAGTTTACAAGATACTGCCCGATAAATCTTCCTTCATTGATTGAATATATCATTTTCTTATATATCTAGTAATTCATCGTAATGATTAATTCGACAAATGAAAGTATTATTTCCCATTGATTTTTCTTTAATTTTTCATTAAAAACGAACTCACCGTAATCAATATTGTAATAAATCGAATTTGATATAAATACATGCAAATACCATTGAATTTGCTTTTACGAGAGAGGAAATAGGTACTATGAATAAATTGATTTGAGATCGTTTATTCGAAAAGCATTCGAACGTTTCGTCTTGATATGGAAATTCCTTGGTAAATCGTGTTATCGGTCAAAGCAACGTTATCTCTCTTTCTCTTTCTCTTTCTCTTTCCAACTTGTTATATGCGATTCGATTCCACGAAGGGAAGAACGTTTAGGAGAGATTCAAAGTAGTAGACGGTATTAATCTCCGGAATGGAGAAAGGGTATTCGTACGCACGATGCACTGTGCTTATCGGTATGTTTCTTACGTACAACGTACGTACTAAAGACATACATATGTAAGTACATGCATACATAGTTATACGTTCCTTTTACACGGACTAGTAGTGATAGTTAGTAGCGTAGGAAGATGGCGAATAGAGGATGGGAAAGGGTTCAAACTGGCACCATTAGCGGTTAAACGTTCTCCGAAACTACCTTTGTAATAGCATTTAATTAACAGAGATGTGACCTTATCGATTTTAAAGCGGCCGATTAATTTCATTGTATAATAACGCTCGATCGTAAGAGAACCGGAGGCTCTTCTCTCGTTCTATCACGATCTACCTTGAGAGCTTTCATAAATTTCTAACGATATCATACTACATGCCTCAGACTCTTCCTTTCCTTCCTCTCTCTTTTTCTTTTTCTCTTTTTCTCTCTCTCTCTCTCTCTCTCTCTCTCTCCCTCTCTTTTTTACCCTCTTTCGATCTAATCTTCTTTTTTCCTTTTCTCTTGCAATAAATACAGAACGTCTTCCGTTTTTTCTTTTTTCCTTTTAATAAAAATCTACAAAGATTCGTCTACTCACTTTATTTCCTCTTTAAGCATAGATTAAATGTCTGATTTTACGTAGGATCATATCAGATTTATATTATAGTCGTTAGGTACTTTTCGAGAACGCGTTAAGCTTGGTTCTTATGAGCCTTGTGTTTTGCGTTAGGGTCGCTTGATTAGAAGGACCGACTTTTTTTTTTTTAACACGTATAATAACCGATTTTCACAAATGATCAGATTACATGGGATCAAAAACGTGTTTGTCCTCGCATCCTTATTAACGATGTTGATAGCATATATATATATATATATATATATATATATATATATATATATATATATATATATATATATATATATATATATATATATATATATATATATATATATATGTATGCTTGTTGAATTTCGAATTGAGTTTCGTAAGATTTATCTTTAAACATGATAATCGATATTATGTCATAATTCTTTTAATTTTCTTACATACGTGTTGGTGTAAATACTTTTCAACAATACTTGTTGGTTTTAATGAATCATTGTTTTCTTGTTATCTGTATTATACTTTGATTTCATCCTGTCAATGGAAAATTGATCTACATGATATCTCGATACGAATATATCTGGTGATACGCTAAGTTAAACTTTTCTAGACTTTTCAATTTATCTTCCAATCTTGACAACGATGTGGTTTATTTTCTTGAATGTATCTATTGAAAGTAGTTGCAAAGCATCAAAGAGATATCTCGATCTTTGCTATCCGGAAAAGTTTAACCGGTAAGATTACTTTCTGATATTGGCAGAATGTTTGTTTCGTTACGTGGCCGTCTTTAGTGGAAAAGAAGTAAAGAATTGAGAAATAGAGAAAGCGAGAGAAAGACTCGAGAAAATTGCGTTATCAACTTGGAAAGAACAAATATCCTGTTGTTTAAAGCACGTCCCTTTGTTTTCTTTGAATGAAGTTAAATCCCGATATCAATTGACCAGTTCGCTAGTTTCGCGTTTCCTCTCGTAAGACAAACAAGAGAAAAAGAGAAAAAAACGATCGGAGATAGAGACATTGTCATTACCGGACAAGCTTGCTACCACATTGGAAGATCGACTTTATACGACCGGAAACACAACTGTTGCGCGTTTAACGTTTTATATTGGCCACTATCGAGCAAATAAATACGTTCTGATCAAATATATCACGAAAAATCTACGACACTAGTGCGTTCGTTTTAAATTGTAAATTTGAAACACGTATGAAGAAATACATAGGAAATTATTTTCCTAGAATTTTTAATTAGATTCGTTTCTTTTACATTTATATATATTGCATTACACAATTATACGAATTTATTTGTTGCCTTGAATAAAATGATAAATTAAATGAGAAAAAATGGATATAAATCCGAAGAAATAAAAAGAATATCATTCGATAATATCTCGGAAAAATAAATAAGAGGATTAAATTTTTTTCTTTGTAATATATAATCGTTTGAGAACCATGATTCTTTGTAAAAATCCAATCGAAATTTGTGTTTTATATATATATATATATATATATATTTATTTGTGTTTCTCTAATTCCACGTCGAAAGATGCCAAATGCCATGATCGTGCTGTTTATTTTACTTATAAGTAATAAAAGTGTTGTCTCATCGAATTTCTTGTTATCATGATTATTCCAATGACTATAAGTATAATGAAAATATTGTATCTATAAACGTTAAAGACATGCATCAACAAAATACGAGCGTACAATTAGTATGACTACTACGGACCGACTGATTGACATTTTTAGGCATTGAATAGGACAAGCGTAATCGCATCGCTTGGCATTCTAACGGATAAGGGTTAAATCGTGGACCATTCGAGAGATTTGAACGTCGATAAAAAGAGAGAAAAAGGAAAAGAAAAAAGGGAATTAAGATTAACCGATAAGGTACTCGATTGAAAAAAAAAAAAAAAAGAAAAAGAAGAAAAAAAAGAAAAAAAAAGAAAGAAAGAAAAAGAGAAGAAAAAACGAAGAAAAATCGAAGAAAATAAATAAATTGACTATGGCTTCTCAGAACGTTTCTCATGTTGATGAAAGTAAAATCACGTGCTTTTTATCCCCTCCTGCTTAGAGACATACTAGAGATCGTTTCAGAGTAGGAAAAAACTAGCTGAAACACGCGTGCCATGTGACGACCTCGCGTTAATCCTGTACAGATCGTATTTACGAGTCGGTGGCCTCGCACGAACGGCCGGTATTCGGTGCACGTGTTCGCTCGTGTCATCCATGCATACTCTCATTTAAAGAGTGTGTGTATAAATGTATATGTTACTATGTGAGAGAGAGCGAACGAGAGAGAGATAGAACGAGAGCAAGAGAGAGAGAGAGAGAGAGAGAGAGACAGAACGAGAGCAAGAGAGAGAGAGAGAACGAGAGCAAGAGAGAGAAAGAGAGCAAGAGAGAGAGAGAGAGCCGGGTAGGCGCACGCAGTTATGAAACAACACACGTACATAGAAACGGGTGGATAGGCCACCCTCGCGGTCCTCAGAGCACGTGGCTTGCTCCAAACGACGCTCGTAAACGAATCTTGGAATTTCGCATTGCACGTTGTCGAAGTCGACGAAATCGTAAATAAAATTTTCTCTTGCGGTAGATGAAGGAGGATGAAGGAGAAAAAGGAAGACGGAAAATGAAAAAGGGAAAAGTAGAAAATAGAAGGATAAAGAAAAGAAAGAGCGAGAAAGAGAGATAGAGAGAGAACGATAAGGAATGTAAGAAGGAAAAAGAGGGAACGATAGGGAAGAAAGAAGAGAAAGAGAAAGAAAGAAAAGGGAGAAAGGGAGAAGTTGAAAATCGCAGCAAAATGAAAAGCGATAAATACTTCCACAGCAACTCGTGCGGAAAGGGTTGTAAAACTTTGCGAGTTATCGTCGATTGTACTTTTTTTTTTTTTGTACTATTTTTCCAAACTGCTGCAAGTGTATGGATAGTAAATATTGGTTTACGGCACCCAATTCTATATCTCTCCTAGTTGTAATATCTGCTTGTTATTTCATTGATTGTTATTATTTTTCAAACGAAAAAAAAAAAAAAAACATTCTTCTTTGATATTTAATTCTCCACGAGAATTGCATTATTTTGATATTTTGAAATAATTGTGTTTCGCGCTTAATACGTTAAAAGTGTTTTAAACTTTGGATTTTTCAATAATTCAGTGCATAGATAGAAAAATCTATTTATTAACCTGTCATACGATTATCTTACTAAGTTCAAATTTACTCGTTTAATTGTAACAATACTATTTTATACATGTAACGTGAATGTGTAATTTTATATGCCCCTCTCTCTCTCTCTCTCTCTCTCTTTCTCTCTTTCTCCCTCTCTCTTTCATTTTCTTTTATTTTAAATGTAAACGCAGTACTAACGTAAAATGCAAAAAATACGTCTGAAGCACGGCAACTCATTTTGTCCTCCTCAAATATTCCCTCTTCAACGCTGCAATTCTTTATAACCGCACGTTTCACCAAAGAAAAAAGTTATTTACTTAAAAAAGATGTTTCCTTCGGCGTGAACTTCGCTCTTTTCACCATACTCCCGACGACTTTACGATGCTGTTATCGTAAATTCTCAGATATGTTGACGATCCACTTTGCTTTCTTATCCAGGAGGAACATTCTTGTTTTACTATTATTATTATTATTATTATTATTCATTATTCATTATGACATGTTACTTAAATAAGAATTAAGTAAGATG